CATAAAGACACTTATGAAAGAGGGCTTCAGAAAGTGGCAAGAACGAATGGATACACGTGTCTAAAGCAAGGGGAAGGACTTTGTAGGGGGATGAATGGCAACGTCTCTTTTAGGGCAATTTTTTTAAAAAAAAAATCTTAAACATTCACCATATATTTTGATCATATTCATAATTAGTCCCTTCTCTCGTCAGTCAGATCTATCATTTTCCCCCAGACCCCAGAACACAGAAAGGCTAGGAGCTATGAAAAAGAACAAAGAGACATGTTGGGGAATCAGGGTGTATCCCAGGACCGGCATCATGCCTGCCAGATACTGGGATTTGATCCATAGCCTTTAGATTGAGTGAGTAAGTATGATAGAATTGCAGAACTTCTATACTTCAGAAAAGAGATCTTAACTCAAGAATATGCAAGTGCTCCATGTTTTATTTACACTGTAATACACTTAGATGTCTTATAAAGTAGCATATGGATTTCTGTGGGAAATGGGGAGTAAATTATATTTATAAAAAAATATATATATATATATTTTTTTTTTTTCTGCTGGCGATCAAACTCCAGGCCTTGCACTTGCAAAGCAGGCAGCAGAACTACTGAGCTAAATCACCAGCCCTAAATGATAATTTAAATTCTTCTAGGAGGCTAGAACCATAGTATGAATCACTATGGAAAACAAATCCTATCATTATTACAAACAGGCGGGTGCTATAGAGCACATCTGTGGTTTCAGTTACTCCAAAGGTTGAGCAAGGAGGGTCACTTGAATCTAAGAGGTAAAAGCAAACTTGGTCAATATAACAAGACTCTCATCTCAATGATTATATTAATTTATTAATTCTTAAAAGACATTGCTAATTTATCTATTTTTGCAAGCTTAGAATTTCTTTAAGTGAAAAACACTGCATTTTTACTTTATGAATCACCAATTTTACTTCTTATTGAACAAAATAAAAGTGTGCATTTCTGCCTGATGTTTCAAACCTGAAATCATAAAATCATACCTTACCTTTTACCTCCTGTTCTTGCTCATTTGAAAAATCTGGGTCATTTTAGTAATCCATCTTCACAACAACAACAAAAAAACTTGACCTAGTGTCACACTAATTTAAAATGAGCCTACTTATCTTTGACCAAGGTTTCATTATTGAGGATAAATAAATTAGGCAGTAGAAAATGGCACCTTAGATGGGAAACTGAATTGTTGTGGACTGCTTTGTGAATTACCTAACGTAGGTGAGCTCCTGATAAGGTAACTGGCAATGTGTGTTGTCAGTTCTGAGGTTTTTCTTCCCTGAAAGAGGACATGCACTGTCTCTTAGATAGGAGACCCCTCTGGGCCCTCTCTGCCCTCCTAGCTGGAGCAGTTCTGTGAAGACAAGAGAGGAACTTATCTCTCTTCCACACTCTGCATCATAATCCTACAGAGACTGGGGAGAAAGGAACTATAGAATTTTTAAACCAGATCTTCGAGAGGGTAGTAGTTAAGTTTCTGCCAAAAAAGGATAATAAGGTCCAGAGAAGGTAGATCCCAAGATTGTCCTGACTCAGTGGCTCAGAAGAGAGGTGAGCCCAGGCTCTAGACTCAGTAGCAGTTCCTACATGCTGTCCTGGCCTGCTGTGTCCTCCCCACAGGGTTCTGTCACACTGCCTAGGAAGATTTACCTTCCCACCCCACCTATGCCACACAGTGTAGCTACAGGGAAGGGTAAGGGCAGAGTGCCATCAGCAACTTTCAACTTGGCAAATATTTATTGAGCATTTGCTATGTGACTGGTGCTACACTGTGTTCTGACAGCACCAGAGTGAATATGACACAGTGTTTTATTACAAGGCGCTTACAGTCAGGGAAGTCTATTATTCGTCACATTACAATAGCCATCTCCTCTGTAATGCTTTGCAAACTGAAGTATACCCAAATGTGTCTGAAGTCACAGATTAATCTAGCTATTATTTCTTCCTGAGGTTCCCATTTTCCTTCACACACACACACACACACACACACACACACACACACACGCGCGCACACACGTGTCAATTTTAGGTACTTTGTAAAAATAAAGGAGAACAAGAATTCAAAGAATTTTCTCCCTTTTCATCTTCACTTTACAGCCCCTGCCTTGCAATTAGCTGATCTCTACTGTGGGTACTGCAAGATTTGGTTCAGATTATGTTTTCTGAGCCAGCATTAGCATGAGAAAAAGTTTGAAAGAAGAACATGATACTAAGCCTTCCCATCAGAATCTAGAATTGAAAACAATGATGCACAAACACTTTTAGATGAACGGAGTCATTTTGACCTAGTAAACATTTTTATTTCATAGAAGAAGCTCTCATTTGCACTGAACTGTTTCCATTTCTGTCGAGCTGTCTCTTTCAATTCCAAGAAAAGCTGGTCTGTCATTTACACTACATTGTTATGTTTTTCAGACTTGTTCCTGACCTCCATCTGTGACCCTCAGAGTTTGGATCCTGCTTCTTCCTGCTCTCCTACCCAGCCGCCTGTCTTGCCTGCCCCAGTGGACTGGAATGGCTACAGACCCTGCCTCTCTGGCTAAGCAGAGGTAATGCTCTGTGGACCATTGTTTCACAGGCCACACCACTGTGATCCCCATGGCTGCCCATCAGGGCACTGTCAACAGCTGGAGACGCTTCCCATCCTGGCCCCATGAAAGGAGGCCTGCATAGGCTCCTTGGACCATCAGTTCATAGGTCACTGCAACCAGAGCACAATCTGTGATTATTCAAGGAGCTTCAATTCATTTTCCTCTGCTCCTCCCCCACGGTTACCCTTGAGAGAAAACTAATTTGCAGAAAAATAGCCCCTGCCAGCTAACTTCTTCTTTGAAATGTATGCTGCCCCCCCCACCCCAACTCTTGTCTCAGTGGGTCCTTTTTCTCCAAGTTCTGAAAAAGCAGGCTTCTCCTTTAAAAACCTCCCCCAGCCTGCTCTGCACCTCCGTCTGGGAGATGCTTTCTTTTCCTTCTATTCTTTGCGTCTCTTCTTAACATGTGTGCTGAAATTGGCACTTTCTCTTTTCAGTTCACTCCCTTTCTAGTATTAATGCAGGCAGCAACGAAGAAATGTGCGCAATTTTTCCAGTGTCTGCACTCGGCGAGCCCATGGGTGATGGATGAAATGTAACATGCTCTCCCTTACACATCACTATTTAAGCGAGGCGCCTGGGCCACCTGGTAATACATGGTGTTATCCACTGCGCCAGACACTAGCAGGGAGCCAAGGCTGCGGCCACCGTTGTCCGCGTAAATAATGGGGCTAATGGCACTTGGTGCAAATGAGACTCCTATAGAACACGCCAGGCTTGTTGATCTCGTTATTATTTCTCTTTGTCGAGAAGCTTTCTCTCTCTCTTCTCCAGGGCTTCAGCTGCGTGGTCTGCCTTGGTAGTCGGGGGGTGGGGTGGGGGGGTGGGGATGAAGACGAGGTCTCCTGGAGTTCAAGATTTTGTAAGTAATATTGAACACCAGGGAGAATGGATGCCCAGGTCAGGTTAAGAATAAAGAAAATTGATTGGGAGGTCAGGGTCATGATGTGAAAGTCCTGAATGCTGCCAAAATATTTTCATTATTACTGTTTTTTGTTATGGAAAAAGACCAGTCCCCTAGTAAGGAGGCAGAGAGCGGGGAGAAAGAAGGAATTTAGAGCAACTCAGGGGAATCAGAAATCTGTGATTTATTAAATTTGCTTTTCCCTAGTTTCTTGCCTAGTGTTTGTATTCCTTTCAAAGTATGGACATTGATAATAAAGCTTTTCCCCCAGAACCAAGCACTTCGGGCTTGGGCTGATATCTCCCCTCTCTCTTCATCCCCTCCCTCTCTCTCCCTTCTCTCTCTCCTCTCTCTGAAAAAGCTGGAGAGACAAGTTCTTCCAGTTCTATTTGCAGGAGTAAGCTATTTCATGCATCACTATGATTCTACTTTTCACCCATGCCTACAACATATCTACAACACAGGGCTGTATATTTTAACAAAATCCTGTTATTATTGGAGCTCTGACCTGATTTTGTTTCTATATTCTGAAACAGAAAAGACTTCAGTGGCATGAAATTAGCAACACATTCTGCTAGTGTGTTAATTGTGTGAGAGTTTTTGGCAGGAGAATCTCCTAGCACAACATAAAATTTATTTTTTACTTAAACTTGATAGCAGTTTCATGTTGTGTTTAACGAAAGACACCATGGCCTAAACCACTTGGGATTTACTGTACATTCAGGAATAGAAAAAAAAAAAAAAAAAAAA